AGATTTAAAGCAGGTGAGGTTATGCTGGTTATGCCAATTGACGACTGAGGACTGCATGATGTAATATATGTAATATATATAATAATAATAATAATAATAATAATAATAATAATGTGTTTTATTTATAGAGCGCTTTTCTGGAAACTAAAAAATACTTGTAAACTTCTCGAATATTCATTTTTTGGTGTCTTTGCACTGCTGCATATTATGGCTTGTATGTGTTTTTTATTGCTGAACATTCCTCATTTTCTAATGTCTCTCCTCACTTCTACCTCATGAATAATAGCCGGGGTCTTGGGGGAGAAACTGGCCTTTTCAGGGTTCTCTCCTCACTGTCGACTTCCTTTCCCTCTTTACCTTTCCTCTTTCGACACGTCTCTCCCTCTGCTCCACATACTTATCTCTTTTTTCCATCGCTCCTTTTAACTCTATTTCTCCTTTGAAATCATTGATTTTTCAGAGCTTCTATAAAATATTTACAATGTGTGGGCAGACTTCCCTCTGTGGGAATTTAGAGGAGGGGGTGGGTGGGGGTGATCATTGTGAGAGCGTGTGGTGAAATGAATAAGAGTGGGAGAGGAGGGAAAGCTAAGGGAGTGTGAGAGGAGAGGAGAGACAGAGTCAGATAAGAGCGATGGAAGTCCAGTCCAGTCGTGGCATGAATATCAATGCTTCCTTTGAAACAACTCCACATCATAAATAAATAAACCGAGCTTCAGATAAAGATCGTTATTTTCAAGGCTTTTGTAACACCGCCTTTCCCCTAAACACTCACAACATATCGATTGTCAGCCAATTCTGATGATTCCGACACCTTCTCATCCCACCTGTCCTCTCTGTTTCCTCTCTGTCTGATGAAGAGTTGTTACACTTTTCTTCTTCCTGCTCAGATTGCTGCCTAATTAAATAAAACCCCAGGACTGTTCCTGTAGGAGTTCTGTGATTTAGCAAAAACTAAAATTCTGAATCTGTCAAAACTGTGAGACAGCAGCATCTCCTTATTATTTAAACCAACGCTCATGTAGCTGAAGAGACTTCAAAAGACAGTCTCCTCATTTGGTTTTCAAGCTCTTACTACCACATGATTCACTGCTCCATCAACCTGAAAACTGATGACAGAGATACTCCAATAGCATGCATTAATATTGGTTCTGAAACTTTTTAAATCATAGTTGTTAAATATTACACAAAATAGTAAACATCCTTTTATGTGGCAAACATTTGTGTGAGATCTTGTTTTTGACAAGAAATAAGCCTACAGTAAAAATGTCTGAGCAATTTGTTTGTGTTCCAACAAACCCGTTTACCAAAAAAGTATGAACAGGTAGAAAGTTTGGTTATTATTGGGTTTTTTTGTTTGTTTTTTTGACAAGTCTTTTTATTTCATTATAGTGTACAATAATCGATGCCATTTCATTTACATTGTAATATCACAGTACACTCTCTACACTCCCCACTCCCTCCCTCCACCCCCACATGCCCACACAGGTAAAACCAAAAACTTAAACTTAAACAACAGAGCCATGAAAAGAAACATAGAAAGGAAAAGAAAAACCCCCAAAAATTATTATTATTGTTTTTTAAAATATCAAATCATTGCGACTTAGGCATGGTTTAAAATGTTATGGTGATTTTCAAGCTGCGGTGCTGTTCGTCCAGTATCATAAAGCTGTGTTTGTTGTTGAGTTAGTGTGTCTCATAACTGTAAGTGTTTGTCAGTATATTGGTTAGCTACGTTAGCTAGCTAGCTTAAAGCAGATCTGCAATAATATCGGAAGGAGTCATGTGAGCACATTGTTAAAATAACCCAATAAAACATACATTTTAGGAAAGTTTCCAACAACATTGACAGTAGGCCAACTGCATTATCCCACAAAGCGCTCTGGTCCCAGCTGTGTGCGTCACTTTTTGGTGTCCCCTGGTCTTCCAGCTGTGTGCGTCACTTTTTGGTGTCCCCTGGGCCCTTTCTCATGTCATCAAATGTCCCATCCTCGACTCCTCGACTCCTCGGTCCTCCGGTAGTGACCCGGAAATGAATTTTAGCGCGCCATGTTGAAGGACATCTCATTTCTCGAAATGCACATCGAGGACCGAGCATCGAGCGTCGAGGAGGCTCTCTGGAGGAGCTATAACCGAGGATACACTGATGGGTCCTCCACAGTCCTCCACGGCTCCTTCGTGGATGCATTTCCGGCAACAGTGATGTTTCAAAGAGTCGAGACGCACGGCCGGACTTATCTCAGCCAATGACAGCTCTGCATGCATCCCCTGGATATTATTTTATTAACTGCTTTCATCGCGACGCGATGTTTACAGTGAGAACAGCTGTGAGGTCTGTGCAGAAAGCAGAGCAGTGTGTATAATATATATATATCACTCAGTATAACAGGCCTACTCTCTTTATTTGCTTTAGTTTAGTAGATATCTACAAACAAAGTCGATATTTTTCTAAAACCATTTAGTGCTTCACATAATAAAATACACAACGGCTGTAGCCTGATTATATGCTTTAGGAGCTGTAGGTGCGTGTGTGTGGTGTAGGTGTGTGTGGTGCAGTGTGTGCGTAGATGCAGCGGACAGACAGGTCTCAGTTGGTTTGGTGTCCTCTGCTTACTTGTAATACTTGTAAATAAAACTTTTGGCCCGTCATTTATTTCCCTCATTGTAGCGACCAGAGAGGGGGGGGGGATATATCCAGTCTCTGATAGTGTTACGTTATTATGAGAGTTCTCTGTTTGATTCTGAAATTGTATATATTTATATAAATATATACGTGTGTGTGTGTGTGTGTGTGTGTGTGTGTGTGTGTGTGTGTGTGTGTGTGTGTGTCTGTGTGTCTGTGTGTCTGTGTGTATGTCCGCATCTGTAGCCTGTTATTGTCTCATTATACCGCACTGTGAATGAATTAAAAGTAAATATATAAGTGGTCATGAACACATCTGTCCATCAGACAGAGGGCTGCTGTGCCTCCTGTCATCATTAATGGACGTCTCTTTAAAATGACCGCTCAGAGGAGAGGAGTTCTCATTTCTCTAACCGCTTGCCGCTTGCTGCTTCCCCTCCTCTCTCCTCGGTTCCCCTCCTCGGCTCCTCCGCTCGCATCTCCTGTGGGCGGGACTAAGTCTCGAGGATAGGAGTCGAGGAGGGGAGTCGAGGAGGAACATTTGAAGACATGAGAAAGGGCCCTGGTCTCCCAGCTGTGTGCGTCACTTTTTAGTGTCCCCTGGTCTCCCAGCTGTGTGCGTCACTCTTTAGTGTCCCCTGGTCTCCCAGCTGTGTGCGTCACTTTTTGGTGTCCCCTGGTCTCCCAGCTGTGTGCGTCACTTTTTAGTGTCCCCTGGTCTCCCAGCTGTGTGCGTCACTCTTTAGTGTCCCCTGGTCTCCCAGCTGTGTGCGTCACTCTTTAGTGTCCTCTGGTCTCCCAGATGTGTGCGTCACTCTTTAGTGTCCCCTGGTCTCCCAGCTGTGTGCGTCACTCTTTAGTGTCCCCTGGTCTCCCAGCTGTGTGCGTCACTCTTTAGTGTCCTCTGGTCTCCCAGCTGTGTGCGTCACTCTTTAGTGTCCCCTGGTCTCCCAGCTGTGTGCGTCACTCTTTAGTGTCCCCTGGTCTCCCAGCTGTGTGCGTCACTCTTTAGTGTCCCCTGGTCTCCCAGCTGTGTGCGTCACTCTTTAGTGTCCCCTGGTCTCCCAGCTGTGTGCGTCACTCTTTAGTGTCCTCTGGTCTCCCAGCTGTGTGCGTCACTCTTTAGTGTCCCCTGGTCTCCCAGCTGTGTGCGTCACTCTTTAGTGTCCCCTGGTCTCCCAGCTGTGTGCGTCACTCTTTAGTGTCCTCTGGTCTCCCAGCTGTGTGCGTCACTCTTTAGTGTCCGCTGGTCTCCCAGCTGTGTGCGTCACTCTTTAGTGTCCTCTGGTCTCCCAGCTGTGTGCGTCACTCTTTAGTGTCCTCTGGTCTCCCAGCTGTGTGCGTCACTCTTTAGTGTCCCCTGGTCTCCCAGCTGTGTGCGTCACTCTTTAGTGTCCCCTGGTCTCTCAGCTGTGTGCGTCACTCTTTAGTGTCCCCTGGTCTCCCAGCTGTGTGCGTTACTCTTTAGTGTCCCCTGGTCTCCCAGCTGTGTGCGTCACTCTTTAGTGTCCCCTGGTCTCCGTTGTGTTTTGAGCTTCTTGCAGCGTTTTGTATTTGCGGCGTTTGGTTTCAGCAGCTTTTATTAAACTCTGCGCATGTTTCCTCAAGTTGCTGAATGTTTTCCAAATGCTGCATGTGTTGTCAGGTTTTGGAGAAGTTTCTTCATTTTCATGTGTTTTTGCACATTTGAGTTTTTATATTTGCATCGTTTTTGTAACTGCAGAGCGTTTGTCCTAATGGGAATGTTTTGAACCGTTGTAGAGCGTTTGCACCTGTCGGCCCCGTAGAGACGGATCTCATGCTTTATTGCATTGAAAGCTTTAACTATAAAAAAGGAAGAGTTGATTAAGCTGGCAGAGCTTCATTTTATTATATATTTCTTTACTTTTTTGTCATTAAGTATTGGTAACTATTATGTTTGTGCTTGTGGGAAAGTCCAACTTCAGACTCATCATTAACCTGGAGATGAAATCTGGAAGAAGAAATCAAATGTCCATTCTGTTCAAAACTGGGGGAAAAAACGATTAATGAGCAATATAAGGGATCCTATTTAAATATGCTAGAGCCTGACTTTAAAGAATACTGTGTTATAGACGGACCAGAGTCAGTTTGAAACAAAATGACTGACTCAACTCGGCCACTGTTACACAGACTGTACAGTTAGTATACCCTTAACTCTCTGTCTATCTGTTTGTGCCTTCCTGTGAATGGGCTGAGTTTCCTGTCACATGGCCTCATGTTTGCTCTTTCATAAATACTTTTCTTGGACTGTAAGGTTTTATAAAAAAGTGTTTATTCATATGTGTTTCTCCTGATTCTGATTCTGATTAAATATGTGTATATTCTTGTATGATCAATGTCTTCTCTTCTTGTGCAGGTGGGAGGGACGATGTACAACACGGGCCGCCACGTCTCTCTGCGATTGGACAAGGAGCATCTGGTGAACATCTCCGGGGGCCCGATGACGTACAGCCATCGTCTGGAAGAGATCCGGCTACACTTTGGCAGCGAGGACGGCCAGGGTTCTGAACACCTGCTGAACGGACAGGGCTTCTCCGGAGAGGTGAGCCTCACACCTGCAGTAACACACACTGTGGTCAGACCTCATGGATCCTTTGATGGAACATTTTACTCCTGATGAGCCAGAATCTGCAGAGAACCATGTGACGCTCTGAAGATCTGCATCAGCGCTTTCAGCAGGAACTAACTTGTCTTGGAGATGACAGTTAAACATTCAACTCTCAAACACACACACACACACACACACACACACACACACACACACACACACACACACACACACACACACACACACACACATGATGGTGGCTGAACACACACTCTGCCATTTTAAATGTTGACGAGTAGAACAATTAGCTTCCCCGGCTTTGATTGTTCCAACAGAATCATGAGTCACTCTGCTGCATTTCACTGCCGCCATTACATGAATAACCAATTTGTGTGGCAACAAAGTAATTGCAGTCTTGACAGGCAAATGTATTATAATTAATGCTAATCATTTATCCTCCCTCAGTCTGAGAGCTGATATTCAAATCATAATAAAACAAATGTTTACTGTGTGCTTTGGGGTGGATAGAGCTGTAACACAAGCCTGCAAGACAAACAAACACACACACACACACACACACACACACACACACACACACACACACACACTACAGTGTATTGAGGCTCCCTCCAGGGGTTTTATTTTGTATTCCTTCCTTGCCTTCATGGATTTGCTGTTTGCGGGTTAACACTGTGTTGGAGCAGAGGAACTCTGTAGATTAGGGGCTGAGATTGGAAATGTGATGTCACACTGTTGCTGCGTTGCACTCTGCATCCCTCAGGCAACAGAGGAGGGAAAGGTTGTGGAGTCATTTCCACAGGGGGGGTGTATGTCTTTCTGAAAACTTGCTTAAATCCAGTGGGGGAATATAATGAAGTACATTTACTCAATGGTTGTACTTAAGTGATACTTGAGGTACTTGGCTCCTTTTGTTTTGCAGCTTCAGTTACTTTATAAATGAATTGTTTGCATAAAAACACAAGAGGTGATGTCTGATATTTTTTTATCTTACGAGAACATTCAATTAATCAATTAGGCGATTGAGAGATTATTCATTGGAAGCTTCAAACAGTTAAGTGATTTTCTAATTTACTTTATATTATTTCGTTTTAGGGTGTATTTTTTATTTATTTAATATCCACCACTGATATAATCCAAGACAAAAAACAGAAGACAGGACATCTTTATATAGGTACACAAATGTACTTTGCCCTGGGTTCGGCCTCTCAGGCTGTTACAGCCTGACCGAAATCTCTTTGGTCAAAGTGTTTAGGAAAACTCCTTAAATACATATTTCCATTTACAGGTAACTATTTGCCCTATTGCAATGACCTAATGCCAGTAAATGTTCTTAATTTCCATTTCTAATCAAATCAAATAAACGTTGCAGTCTTTCTGTCTTTATAGTTTATTTTTTAATATTTTTTAGTTTACAATTAAATATCTATAGATACACCAACATTCTCTATCAATTATTGGAGTATAATAATAATATGACAAAAACTGACACAATTTATTATGTTTGGATTCCGCACAATTATAAATGGATGGACTGACAGTATTTGCTTTCTTTAGAGGAGACACTGTCTCCACAGACAGGTGAGTCTCTGAGCTGATGAGCCTCAGGTAAAGGCTGAAAGGTGGGACACGCTGGTTTTTTTAACATCCAATTCCCTTCTGCCTATTCCTCCTCACTGAAACCACTGTTTCTGAGTGAAACGGCAACGAGAAAACATCCCCCTCCTCCCCCGCCGACTCCCCCACCTCTCTGAGGCTTCAAGGTCCAATAAGATGTTTCATAATCGAAAAGGCTGAATATCTCCCTCTTTCTCTGCTCACTCTGGCTTCCTCCGCCCCCGCCTGCTGATGAGTGGTGGCTCTGCCTGTCCTTGAAACGGGAACAAAGAGAAAAATATTACAACTTTTGTAAGCAAAGTATCCTTCTGAAGCAGCAGCCTGTGGGAGGAGGGGGGGGGGGGGATTAGCTCTCCAACGCGCACATCTTCAATTCACCCTTTCATACATCTGGTGTCATTCTGTGGTGTGTGTGTGTGTGTGTGTGTGTGTGTGTGTGTGTGTGTGTGTGTGTGTGTGTGTGTGCCATCAAACTAAATAAATCACACACAGACATTACAAACACACACACACACACACACACACACACCCACATGCACACATATCACATTAATCACGCCTCAGGGGAAGAATAATAAGTCAGCATCAAAACAGACTTTGTTGGATGAAGCAGTGCATTGATGTTATTCAATGTCTTATCCAATACGCACATCCATCGGTATTCATATGATTTATTATCCGTCCCTGACATATAGGTAGAAGTGCACACACAATCACATCGTCATGGCAACATGAGATCTCTACACAAGCACATGGAACAGACGGATGTTCTTATCAGTTGAGCGTATGCAGTTGAAGGAAGTCTGTGATATATGTTTAACATTTAGAGGTATTAACTCATCCTCATGATCAGTGATCATCACAACTCTCCTCTCTCTCTCCCGCTGTGTGTCCAAGCTGACGCCTTTTTCACTTCTCAGATCAGTTTGAAATTTGGCTATAATGATTGCTGATCGGAATCATGGCCAAAACGAACGACCCATTTTGAATGAAACCTGAATAAGAATCACCCTTTAATACATATGTAAAGGAACACAGTATGGTCAAAGCAAGGCTTTATAGTAATTCAAGGTAAGGTTGCCACAATTAATTCCACGACGTAGAAAAAATATGGACATTTTCGGTCAAGGAATTTGTGAAACAAACCAAACAAAATGTGCACAGGCTGTAAAAAGCCACTGTTCAGCTAACCAAATGGATAAGTCACTAAATGCAGAGAGCGGACCCAAAGCAAAGCCCCCCCCCCCCCCCCCCCCCCACTGTGGGGAGGCAGGAGACCTGGCAGTGAAGCAGTAAATAGAGCTGGAGCTACAGTACTTCACAGTCTAATCTGAAAATGAAACACCTTGGTCTTTTAATAAGTGCTAAAATATTCCAGATATCATTCCTTATTCCTTATTCAGTCCTTCAGCGGGTTGTTTTTATACACTGATAAAACCACATCGAGTTATCCTCTGATTAAAAAATAAAAATGTTTTACTTATACAGTCTGATCCGACCCCTGTACAATCTGATAAACTTCTAACACCAACGTGTTTTATTTTAAATGTTGGTTCATTAAAGGACATCACAGTAAGCTGACTTCAGCTCTGTAGATAATCAACACGTTGTTCTCCCTGAACCACTGCCACATGTAGAGCTCATTTGCAATGGCATGATGAAACAACATGATTATGGACACAAATAAATGTAAATGATGCATTTAAAAATAATAATAATAATAATAATAATAATAATAATAATAATAATAATAATAATAATAATAACAATACAAATAAAATAATAATAATAATACAAATGCAAATACAAATAAAATACAAATACAAATGATATAGTGTTAAAAGATTCACTATATTTCATATGTTTTTGTTTAGAAAGACTGGCATTAGACAGATTTCCACACATTTAAAATCCCACCAATCACAGATGAATCCCTATTCAAACAGGGAAAATCACATTAAGCTAATATCACAGAATATTGGTCACAGAGCTTTAGATGTGTTTGTTTTTCTGTTCCCATAATTACCATTAATCTTTCATAAAGTGCATGTTTTTTAAAGCGATGTTGAGTGCTAATTGTGGCAAGGTTGAAATCACATCAGAACATCTCTGTACGTCCTGTTCTGGAGTGAACAAACATGCTGGAATAAACGAATGAAGAACTCGTGTTCTGATTATGATCATTTCAAATGTAACATGGCTGAGCATTAGCACAGATGAGCTCTGACCAGCAACACATGCACATAAAGAGCCAGGTGTCTCTACAGAGTGTTTATCACAGTGTGGTGTGGGGGGGGAGCAGGCCCGGCCCGTTTGTTAGTTTATGGATCTACGCTCCAGTTAATCTGAAGGAGGGGGGGGGTGGAGATGGAGAGCATCATTTCCAGCCCAGCGCGTTTAAAGCCCCTCTCCCCGTTAGCGCTGAACGCTATCGACTTGCTGTCTTCCTATTTCCCTGCCCCCCCCGGGCCAGGCCAGCCATCATGCCATAAAGAGGCTGTCATGACCCCGCCCCCCCCCCCCCTCCCACACATACTCAGTCCAGAGTGAGAAAAGTGACCCTTTCTTATCCCATGCAGTGTTGTCCTAAAGCCAGTGTGAGAAACTTGGTGCTGCCCAAAGATCAGCATCACAGTGAAGAGCCATTAGTGTCGCTTCAGACCACCACCTCACCTCATGTCACTGGAAACTGAAACATTGACTTTAATTATATGTACTTTATCAACAGATTTCACAAAGCTGTGTTAGGTTAGTTGAAAGCAATAATATTAAGTTTAAATAAAAAATATTAGGTTCAAATTAATATTATTGCTTTCAACTAACCTAACACAGTTATGTGAAATCTGTTGACCATAATGATCTCTATCAGATATATCTGAAGTCAAATGAATAGAGATCAGGGTTGGGATGGTTACCTTCAAAATGTATTCTGGTACAATTACTTAAACCTATCAAAATCAAAAAAAGTAATGTAACCTGATAACTTTTGTTAATTTTGAATCACCTCAATATCAAAGGCAATGCGAATAAATCAAAGAGAAAATAATTAGCAATAAAATGTTTTTTACTTCAGTGTATTATGTAAGACAACAGAGCAATGTAACGTTAGAAAAGAAGAATCCAAGATATTTAAAATCAGAAAAGATTTGATTGATATGAAAAGCTGCCTTTCACTCAGCATATCCAGGCAGCAGCCACACCAGCGCTGAAACACATGAGCACATACTACAGTTTGAAAAAGCATTTTGGATCCCTGGTTGGAAAAAGAACTGGATTTTGAATCCCTTTCCTGATCTATAGCTGTTATTTGCTAAATGTATCTGAGAGGGGATTTGCCTTTTGTTGAATACAGTTTCTTGTTTTCTATCCCAGGTATGTACTGCTTATCCCGTTACTGCCACAGCCTTCATTAGATTTGATAAGCAAACTCTAAAGAGCATTCCGAATCAATGGAGTGATTTCTCCTTCTACTGTTCTGCATCTCGTCCTTCTTTCACACAGTTTAGGCGGGAAATACAAATAAAAAGCGGGGCTAAGGTTTGGAACGTAGCTAGCCCGTGCTAACATGACCCAAAGTATGATTGGTAAACTGGCAGCAAATCACAGATCATATTCATTCCAATGGCAAGTAGGAACAAATACATTTGGTAACATTAATAATCAAATGTATGGCTCTGTCTATCTACTGGAGCAGAGTTCAGACATCATTATTTTATTGTATACATAAATAGTTTTTTCCTACTGTAACATGTCAAAATATTTGTGAACATTTCACAAAATGCAGGTGTTTTACACATCAGTACATTTATTTACCTAAAGTCATTCATGGAGCATCAGACACTACATATAGATAAAGGCATGTCTCACAATGAGTCGTGGAGCTCTGAGCGATATATTACTCGAGTCTTTTTAGGATACTTATAAATAAGTATTAAATGTTCTCTTAAATAAACAGATGGAAGCTTTTACATGGTTTTTATCAAATGAATCTTAAGAGCAGTTAGTAAGTTTAGCCTAGTTATTGCAAACGTTATTTAGTTTTGTCAGTGAGTCCCTTTAACTGTATATATATTTTCAATCCCAGTTATGCACTGCTTATCCAGTTACTGCCACAGCCTGCCATTAGATGTGATAAGTAGATTCTACAGAGCATTCTGATTAGATGAAGTGCGATTGGACCCAGACCCTAATTTGTAGTAACTGTAATATCTGTCACACCCTATTATATAACCTGTCTGTATCTCTGTCTTCATACCGTCTGCTCAGTGGGAGCAGGGACAGAGTGTTAGTGTAGCCTCAGATGGGTGGAGGTGTGTGTGCGTGTGCGTATGTGTGTGTGTGTGTGTGTGTGTGTGTGTGATGAACAATGTGCTGCTGCAGGCCGCTATTTCATCTCTTCCTGGAGCTAATTACCACCTCTATTTTCTCCATCTTCTGTTCTGCATCTCGTCCTTCTCTCTTCTCCATTTGGCAGACACTCTCATTTTATTATGGCCCACTCTAGCCTTTTATTGCCCACTAGCTGCAAACTTTGTGCAATTTGTCACAGAGGGAGTGTGGATGAGTTATATTCGCTGCCTCTGACGTTCTCACCTAAAAATCTAATCAGATCAGCGCGGGGCTCTAATCACTTCCTCTCTCGCCTTGATTGCATTTATAGATGTTCTGTCGCTCTGTGCTTCCCCAATCGAGCATTTCATAATTACTCTCCTCTTACATTTGTTTATGGATATCCTTCAGTACAGTGCATGCCTCCCTTTGCTGATGAGTGAAGATGAGACATTTATGGATGCAGGGAGAGAAAGCGTGAGAGCCTTTGGGAAACATCTGAAATCATTACCAGCCCTTTGTGCTTGAAATACAGTATTTACTGCCTTCATATTCATAGTCTGGCAGTGTCGACAGCAGCCAGACATTTTGGGAAGAATGGGTTATAAAAACATGTTATATGACAATAACCTTAAACTATAATCATGTTTATTTTAAAGAACCTCCCCACATATATTCTTCATGACCATGGTTGGAATTGAAATAAAATGTCCCGCCCCCCCCCCCCCCCCCCCCCCCCCCCCCCCACCGGTCCGCACGAATTAATCCACATGATCCGTATGATTATATGAAAAGATTTTAAAATAAATACAAATGTCTTTATTATAAACTTGTGAGGCCTTAACATATCATGTGTATATCACCATTCAAACCCCACACAGCTCAGTAAACACTGTGAGACTTTATTTTATAAGTAACGTTCATATTTCTCCTTTTGATTATTATAGTGTTGAACGTACAAAACAAAGCACTTTGGCAAGTTACCACATAAGTTCCAAAATGCTTAATAAGCACTTTGATGATATGCATTCCTCGGTCACGATCGGTGGTTTCCGTGAACGGCCGAATGTTGTGTCACGTTAAATGTGTTCAATCTTCCTCCCTTTCCTGTTGATCTACTATTCCAGGTGTAAAATGTCCACAAAAATATAAAATACATGCAAAAATGCATATGTACAGATACCTCTTGCTGGCTTTGAGCTACATGTACTCTTTGTCAAAACAGCCTTTAAAAGCTAGGTTCCTCTTTCAGCAGTTTCCAGTTAGATGTTGCTTCAGCATCATGAAAGGCAGAGTGTTACAGCGGAGGATGAATCTGAATCTGCCTCTGAGACATTTTGCTCATGCTGTGAGAGCAGGCTGGCCTTGGATCCACCGATGAAAGTATCCTGGCTTCTTTATGTCCCTTATTATTTCTGTCCACATCTGCTCCGAGTACACAAATGTTCCGATCACCACCTCCTTCCATTAGTGTCTCCGTGAATCCACAGGAGACTTCTGATCCTGTATTGATTTTCCCTTTTAAATCATCTGACATGATGTAGCAGACAGGAAAGATTATGTGAATGAGATAATATAGATTCCCTACAAGGCTACTCAACTCCAAGGTTTCCACTATTCTGTACTCACTGTGGGGGTCAACTGGTGCCCACCATCAAAATGTTGTTGGTGATTTGACTTTCCTTATGTTCCAGGTTCAACTGATCCACTACAACCATGAGCTGTACACAAATTACACAGAAGCTGCTAAAAGCCCCAATGGACTGGTCATCGTGTCAATATTCATGAAGGTAAGTCTCATATGTTTACAGCTGCCTTTCATTTTCTTTTTTGACATGTCATGACCCATCATTTGCAATGGATTTGAGCTTGGAGTTTTCAACACTCGCTGACCTAATTAAGTGGTGGAAAATATTTCTTAGCGTTACTAATGAAATGCCTCTTTCCATGATTAGGCTATTATCCTCTTCGAGTTCAGAAATCCTTATTTTATTATTTACATTAATTGTTTTTTCCAACTGTAACATGTCAAAATATTTCTGACGGAGAAGTTACACATTTCACAATAGTGCAGGTGTTTCACACATCAGTACATTTATGTAACCAAACTAATTCATGGGGTGTCAGACACTATAATCAATCATAGAGCTCTGATTGATTTATTACTCAAGAGTCTTTTTAGGTTACTTTTTGCTTTTATAACATTAATCATAAGAGGAACTAGTACGTTTCAGCTTAGTTGTTTTAAAACAATATGTTATTTGTTTTGGCTTTGAGATCACTAAGAGCATGTGGAGCTTCTTGTCCTCGGGGCTGAGACAACCCAGTCTCACAAAAAAACGTGAAATAGCTACGTTGGTCCACAGGGCAAAAAGTATGTTCACAAATAACCCTCTCAAGACGTGGATACAATATGTTTTCCTGTTCATTTCTAATGATCAGTGTGATTGTAAACTTCACAAGCGTAAGAAAAAAAATTGTTACCGGACATTTTGACCGGCAGGTTTTGAATTTACCGGTTTTTAATCAATTTTACCAGCTAAAAACCGGTAATTACCGGCTAACGGAAACCCTGATCTGCAGTACTGATCAACTACAAAATATCAGTTCGTCCTTGTTAATTACACAACATTAATTGTTTTGAATTGTGTACAATGCTTTTGTGTTTTACCGTTTCGATTCTGAGAGACACATTTCTTCTTCTTGAGAGGGTTATTTGTGAATATACTACATTTTGCCCTGTGGACCAACGTAGCTATTTCACATTTTGTTGTGAGACTGGGTTGGCTGAGACAAGGACTGGGGTTGATTCATTTGAAAACAAATAGCCCACAGGATCACTAAAATGCAAAGCCGCTACACTGAAACATTTACTTTAATTAAATGTATTATGTCAACACATGTCACATAACTGTTTTTTTGTTGTTGAAAGCAATAGTATTAAGTTGAACCTAATATATTTTATTTTAACTTAATATTATTGCTTTCAACTAACCTAATACAGTTATGTGAAATCTGTTGACATATTTAATCAAAGTCAGCGTTTCAGTTTTTTCCGTGTATTTGCTCAATCCAATAATAATCCACCTAGTCCTATAACAAGCAGGCAGAAACACTTTGAACGTTATGGAGAGATTTCTTTGAATAAAACCCAGAAGTTCCACTCATATGCCAAATGATGGTATTCCTGCATACCCTCTTTTTTAGTTTGGAATGAGGTCGAGTCCTATGATGTTCTACAGTATATAGATTTAGTGGTTATCTTGAATATTTTTTCAGGATTTCAAGTATCAACCAGTGTTCTAGTTCATGTTGGGTTTTAGTTGATAATACTTTGTACGACCTCTGTTTACCTCTAAGAGACAAGGTAGTGCCCGTTTAGCTTTAAAATAGAACCGTCAGGAATCAACTATAATCCCTGCAGTCCCCCCCCCCTCCTCACTCTCCCGCTCCCTGGGTGTCTTCACATGAAATATTCTAAATGTTAAACTCAAGAACCCACGAATCCCAAACAATTAATATTCCAATTATCCTGCAGAGCCAAACAATGTGCTTGGCTCCTTGTCAGCGGTGGCAGTGCCCCCCCCACCCTCTTTGTTGTGTGTGAGAGGTCTCCATCTTCAGTGAGAGGCTCAGGGATCAGGGATCAGAGAAGCAGCCGGCATCCTCAGCACTCTGAGTGCCAAGTTCAGCTGCTAACTGCTAATTAGCTCCCCAATGTCAATGGGACCATCATATCGTAGAGACAGAAAAGGCTGACCCCCTCCAGCAGCAGGAGTGTGTGGGAGGTGTATGAAGTGAAGAGCTGTAGGTGTGGTTGGTGAATTAACAGCCTGAAGAAGTAGTTACTCTGCTTGCAAAGACATCATTTTAATATTATAACACTAACCAAGTATTTCCATCAATGAGCACAATGGAGAAGTGAAGTCAGTGAATTTCAGTGTCTGTTGTTGGAGAAAGTCATTCATTTTTGGAAAGTTGGAAGTCTTTACCAGACATTAATCCTGTTAAGCCCAGCAGCCCCCGCCTGAGACACAGTTTTTTTCACGAAACTGTGTCTCAGGGCTTCTTAACATTTAAAAACCTATTATTGTGTCATACCCACTTAACCGGAAGAAACTCAGCTAACTGACGATACGAACAATTTTTACCGAAACAAAACACAAGTCTCACAAGAAGCGTCTAAATGAGTCCTGACCGGAAAAATGCTAACGCACTTAGCACAGAACTCACGGTAGAAATACTTTATTACTTATCGGATAAGCACAAACAAGATATCAGCTAGCAAACTGAGATTCCACAGATTATAGGGGTATTACTATCATCACTGTGCGATCAAAACTCGCGGCAGGGGAAGCGAACCCAGACATCACACGACGTAGCTTTACGGAGCAAAAACGGGACATTGTTTACCTTTGCTGTTGTTCTGATCAAAAGTTGGTTAATCCATAGGTTAATCCAATGTGTCTGTGTCACTTTGAAATGATTACTGATAATCCATCGTCATATTTATGGCAAAAACTGAGTTTTCATATAAAGCTATTATGATAGCTACGAGAGTGTATGACAGCTTCCGGTTTTGGGCATTCTGGCTGCGCAGCACTCATTCACCAATGGGTAATGTTTAGATGGATTTTAGGAACTTCCCCTCGATTCTATTGGCTCTAACGGTTCAAAAGAGGTGTCAATCATCAAAATAGACAGATGGGTTCCAGAGATATGGCAAATGCACCCAAATGATCCCAGAAGTGGGTTTTTTTCTTCTAAATCTCTCTAAAAGGTCAATTTCCACTTGTTTTGCATCAACCTTGATACAGGGTACTTATTATATGTTATAGTTTGGATTCCTAGAGCTTTTAGTCTACTATGCCATCATTCAAGGGTGGTTTTCACTATAAGTAATGTTTTTTTTTTGGACGGACACTATAATTTACATTTTACTATGTTCAATCTGAATTTACTTTAAAATAAAAAAATTCTATATTGATTCTGACTCTTCTACATCCAACTTACAGGTTGATCATTGCTTTGAGAAAAAAGATAATTAATTTACCCCTTTTAGAAGTGAAGTTATAGTCATTTGTTCTGGGAATGTCATTCTCGAGCCTGAGACCTGAAAAACAGGCTCAGGGCTTAACAGGTTAAACTCATCCTGAATCATCACAACAGCAAATTTGAAACTGAACTTTTCTGGTTGTTTGATAAAAATCCAAAGGTAAAAGCCAGTGAAAAGCCTTCATGGAGAGAATTCAATTACAACTCCCAACTACTGCTGTCGAAATCATTTGAACTATCTGAAAGCATTTCGAGATTCCAGTGTTCCATGTTGGAACATTGAGGTTCTCCCTAAAAGAAAATATTACAGTATGTTGTGAAAATAATGTGAGGAACAAGCAGCGTGTTGTAGAATCCTAAAGCATTTCCCCTGTAAATAACTTCCTGTCCTTGACCAAAGATTCCTTTTGCAGATAGCCTCTATATCCAGAAACTTTACATTATTAATTTTATTAAAAGAATACATAACAGTTCTGATTACAGATTTATTTTGGAGAAAGTATGATTTTTTTGGCTATGCAGATGACTATAAAGACTTTGCTGCCAAATAAAGGAAGTCAGATTCATGGATCCATTTAGTGGGAAGCTCCTATTTATTGTTGGTGCTGTACATGTTGAGCTCAGTGATTGGATGTTCTGTAGCAACATGCACCTCACGAGCCATAGTTAACTCCTTAACTGTTGTGTTCATGGACACTTGTATCTTACAAGCCTGTTTATACAGTATGTGGTGTTGAGTATAGAGAGAGCTCCACCCTACATTGTCTATTCAGAATGTAATGTACTTCCAGAACCAGAGAGACTCAAAAAGCTGCTACCACTGTCCTAAAGGAGGGGTGACCAGGGGCCTCATTTATAACGCCTTGCGTAGGATTGACGTAGGAAGGTTGCTTACGTAGTACAAAGCAAAAAAATAGGTACAGACATTTTCCGACATTTTCCGACTCACAAAACATTGCGTACCGGCGAGGGAAGTGCGTACGGCACTCCCTACGCCTGTTTCCCTTTATAAATCACAATCGACTCGTAACGCCCATATTTGCCTATAAATAGTCAAAGAAACGCCCATTCATTCATTCATTTTGACTGACTGCATGAAGAAGATCGCAGGAAATGACGACAGAACAGCTAAAAAAGACATCTCACACCGTGTCAGATTTTGGTTATTTCGGGGAGGTGGAGATAAATCATATTGTTTGGTGGATGCAGTTTGAACCAGAGTAGCAGCATGGAGGTCGGATCGTCACCAACATAAATAAATAAGTGGTTCGAAAAAAGTTAATGACAAAAAAAATTCATATAACCTTCCTCAGGCAGTGTGTTTGTCCCGGGGACAGGAGACACCCCCTTGATGAGAAACTGTAAGAAATGATCGGGGAATCCCTCCGGAGTGGAGTCATGACGACTGGATCTGAATTATTTTTGTTGTATTTGGTGGTTTGTGTTCCAGCTGTCGATCAGCAACTATATATCCATAATCCACCAGTTAAAGGAAATACAACTAATGTGTTGTGTTATATTAGCTGTACAATTTACCACATATGGTGTTCTTAGTTTCCATACCTCCTGTGTTTTACGAGCGACTTATCAAGTCTTGGCAAACGGCATAAACACGATTAAACGTGATAGTATATAAAACCATGCTCGTATCTACAACCTATAGAAATGCAAAACGGCGTCAGTTTAGACGTAATTCTGTCCTCCTGCTTACCGCATCATTTATGAGAAAACATTT